AGACATGTGGCCAAGGTGATCAGAGCACAGATTTGGTTTTTTTGTTTTTTGTTTTTTGGGTTTTTTTGAGACAAAGCCTCATTCTTGTCACCCAGGCTGGAGTGAAATGGCGCCATCTTGGCTCACTGCAACCTCTACCTCCCGGGTTCAAGTGATTCTCCCAGCTCAGCCTTCTAAGTAGCTGGGATCAGAGGCACCTGCCACCACGCCCAGCTAATTTTTGTATTTTTAGTAAAGATGGGATTTCGCCGTTTGGCCAGGCTGGTCTCGAGCTCCTGACTTTCTGCAATCCACCTGCTTCAGCCTCCCAAAGTGCTGGGATTGCAGGTGTGAGCCACCACACCCAGCCCGACAGCGGTTTATACATTTTAGGGATACATGAGACATCAATCAACATATATAAGATGAACATTGGTTTGGTCTGGAAAGGCGGGACAACTTGAATGGGGAGGTGCTTCCAGGTTATAGGTAGATAAAAGACAAGTGATTGCATTCTTTAGAGTTTCTGATTAGCCTCTCCAAAGGAGGCAGTCAGATATGCATTTATCTTAGTGAGCAGACAAGTGACTGAATTGAATGAGGGGTAGGTTGACCCTAAGCAGTTCCCAGCTTGAATTCTCCCTTTAGCGTAGAGATTTTGGGGGACCCAGATATTTTCTTTCACAGTGCAGTACTCTCATACAGCTATAGGCCTCATTCAGATTTCACTAGCTTTTTCCACGGGTGTCCTTTTTCTGTGGTAAGATCCCATCCATGATCCCACATCGCATTCAGTCAGCAACAGAGTTCACGAGGGCTGCTGAAACTGAGCACCACTGGCTGGGCAGAGGGGGCTTAAATAACAGGAATTCATTATCTCCCAGTTCTAGAGGCTGGAAGCCCAGGATCAAGGTGTTGGGGGCGGGCAGGGGTTGCTTCCTTCAGGGCTGTGGGGGACGGATCTACTGCGGGCATCTCTTCTTGGTTTATGCCAGGCCCCCTTCTCCCGGCGTCTTCAACTGTCTTCCCTGTGTGTGTCTGTGTCCACATTCCCCGTTTAGAAGGACACCAGTCATACTGGATTAGGATTCACTCTCATGCACTCAACTTAATCACCTTGTTCCAAATACCAGTACATTTTAAAGTATTGGGGGTTAGGTCTTTAACATATGAATTTGCAGGAGAAACACAATTTAGCTCATACTGAGGCAGAAGAGGTAGTCAAGGAAACAACCATGCTCTTGGGATGCAGAGACCAGGGACTTTTCCTTTTTTTTTTTTTTTTTTGAGACGGAATCCTGCTCCGTCACCCAGGCTGGAGTGCAGTGGCGCAATCTCAGCTCACTGCAACCTCCACCTCCTGGATTCAAGCTATTCTCCTGCTCAGCCTCCACAGTAGCTGGGATTACAGGCACATGCTACCACGTCCAGCTAATTTTTGTATTTTTAGTAGAGATGGGGTTGCACCATGTTGGCCAGGATGGTCTCGATCTTTTGATTTCGTGATCCACCCGCCTCAGCCTGCCAAAGTGCTGGAATAACAGGTGTGAGCCACTGCGCCCGGCCCTTTTTTCATTTTTGAGGCAGTGTTTCACTCTGCTGCCCAGGCTGGAGTGCAGCGGTGCAATCTTGGCTCACTGCAGCCTCTGCCTCCTGGGTTCAAGCAATTCTGCCTCAGCCTCCCGAGTAGCTGGGACTAGAGGTGCTCACCACCATGCCTGGCTACTTTTTTGTGTTTTTAATAGAGATGGGGTTTCACCATGTTGACCAGGCTGGTCTTGGACTCCTGACCTCAGGTGATCCACCCACCTGGGCCTCCCAAAGTGCTGAGATTACAGGTATGAGCCATCACACCTGGTCTTTTCTAGTGTTTGCTGATTATTAGAGTGAGGTTGTCTGTTTGCAGTTAAGAATATAACAAAGGTGAGGTGTCCTTCTAATCACCTCCTATAGGGGGTGGTATATGATAGCCACATGAACGTGCCTGATCACTGGCAATGCTAACCTTGAAGGCAGTATCTACCAGGTTTCTCCACTATAGAGTCACTATTTTTGCCTTTCCACACTCTCTTCCATGCATCCTCAGTGGGGTTGATACTGCTCCCAAGGTAAGAAAACTGATTCTTGGCCGGGTGTGGTGGCTCATGCCTGTAATCCCAGCACTTTGGGAGGCCAAGGCAGGTGGATCACCTGAGGTCAGGCATTCGAGACCAGCCTGACCAACATGGCGAAACCCTGTCTCTACTAAAAATACAAAACTTGGCCCAGCGTGGTGGTTGGTGCATGTGTGTAATCCCAGCTACTTGGCAGGCTGAGGCAGGAGGATCTCCTGAACCCAGGAGTTCCAGACCAGACCATGTCTCTACAAAAAATTTTAAAAAAAATTGCCAGGTGTGGTGGTGCATGCCTCTAGTTCCATTTACATAGGAGGCTGAGGTGGGAGGGTTGCTTGAGCCTGGGAGATCGAGGCTTCAGTGAGCCGTGATTATACTACTGCACTCCAGCCTGAGTGACAGTGAGACCGTCACACACACACACACACACACACACACGAGCCATGCCTACCAGTTATCAAAAGATCATAAGCTGGCTTGCGTTTCTCTAGATGCAGAGCTTGAGACAAGGATTTGGATACAAGTAGTTTAACTGGGAGGAGATTCCAAGAAGCACGAGCAGAGGAGGGGAAAGTGAAGACAGTCAGGGAGGGAAAGGAAGGAAGCCAATTCAGAGGCATCAGTGAGCTTATGACCCACGTGGGCAACTGGACTCTGTTCCTCTGGGAGCCTTGGCACGCCAGGGACATGGTCCAGTCAAGCCTTACAGTACCCTTGTCTGTCGAAGGTTGACTCTAAATGACATGGAATTCAGCCTTCAAGCTGTTTATGAAGGAACGTCCTTGCAGTCAACACTCGTGGAAGGGAGGTAGCATTTGCAGAGTCTTTTTTTACACCAAAATATTCTCTAACACTAGCTACCTGGAATTAGCACCACATTCCACAAGTTAAAAAGCCCGGTTCCACAGGAATCATCCTTTTTCAGGTCTGAGGTACAAAGAGAGTACCCAGGCCACTCATACTTCCACTTGCCCAACAAAAATTGGGGGTTCTCACAACTCCTTTCAGATCCAGTAATTTGCTAGAATGACTCACAGAACTCAGGAAAACATTTTGCTTATGCTCTTACCAACCTGATTTGGGTCTGTCTACCGATGTGCAAATGGAAAACCAGATTTCGTAGAGATAAAAGTTTACTTCAAGTCAGCCAGCGAGGAGAGAGGAATCTGGCTCAAATCTGTCTCTCTGAGCTGGGACTGGTACAGATTTTATATACAGAGTGTAGTGAGGTGTAACCTAACTGGATCATGTAATGAGGTGATGTCGGAGGCTTGATCTGATTGGATCATGCCATGGGATGATGTCAGGGTACAATCTGATTGGATCATAGATGTCCGCTTCTTAATTCAGTCCCCGTTTGTTGGATCGAACCCTTAGATTCCGCCCGTGCCTGCTGGCTTGGTTCATCTGGGGCATGATCAAGGTACATAACTTGCAACCTGGGGATCTGTGGCAACTGAAAAATAACTGGCCGTTTTGTTACACAAAGCTGAACCAGACTGGGCTAGTTCTGTGGTTACACTGTTTACCAGTTTATTACAGCCCAATAGAAGAGATACACGAGAGAAAGGACAATGTGACGGGGGAAGGGGTTGTGTGGAGCCTCCAGGCCCTCCCTGGGTGCCACTGGTTGACTGGGGGAATTAATTCCCTGGTGCTTCCAGCCTGCAAGATGAGCTCTTGCAACCAGCAAGTCCCCAGTCAAAGGGGTGCAGGGGCTGGTAGACAGAAATTGAGCAGATGGTAGTTTGCATGGATGAGATAAAGCCCCAAGGGATGTGGCAGGTACCCATGGCGATCCAAATACTCTAATTTCCAAAAGAAAGACAGAGTAGATTAGGGAGTTGGGGAGAGATAGCATGGGGAGAAATGCCAGATACAGGTGATGGGGAGGAAGGCAGCAAATCACACTGCCACGTGTGTACCTATGCAACAATCTTGCATGTTCTTCACATGTACCCCAAAACCTAAAATGCAATTAAAAAAAAAACAAAAAACAAAAAACGAAAGACAGAGTAGATTAATGGAGCATACCAAGCCTACCCTCCAAAGGCATCCCACACCAGGTGACTTATAAAGCTCCAAGAATGAGCCAGAAAAATAAACTTTACACCAGGGTACCTTGGAGACATCAGAAGAATGACAGCCTGGACTCAGGCCCCTAGAGGATGAAGAATTTGACAGAGGCCAGGCATAGTGGCTCATGCCTGTAATCCCAGCACTTTGGGAGGGCAAGACCATCAGATCGCCTGAGCTCAGGAGTTCCAGATCAGTCTGGGCAACAAAGCAAGACTTTGTCTCTACAGAAAAATAAAATAAAATAAAAATTAGCAGGGCTTGACACACGCCTGTGGTCACAGCTACTCAGGAGGCGGAGGTGGGAGAACTGCTTGAGCCCAAAAGGCTGAGGCTGCAATGAGCGGTGATCATGCCACTGCATTCCAGCCTGGGCAGCAGACACCCTGACTCACAAAACAAAACAAAAATAGAGAATCTGGCCAGACGTGGTGGCTCACGCCTGTAATCTTAGCACTCTGGGAGACAGGAGCAGGCAGATTCCAAGGTCAGGAGTTTGAGACCAGCCTGACCAAAATGGAGAAACCCCATCTCTACTGAAAATACACACACAAGAAAAGGCTGGCCATGGTGTTGCACACTTGTAATCCCAGCTACTCAGGAGGCTGACCCAGGAGAATCACTTGAACCTGGGAGGTGGAGGGTGCAGTGAGCTGAGATTGCACCTCTGCACTCCAGCCTGGGCAACAGAGCAAGACTCCATCTCAAAGAAAAGAAGAAGAAAGAAGAAAAGGAAGAAAAGAAGAAGAAAAGAAAGAAGGAGGAGGAGGAGGAGGAGAAGGAGAAAGAAGGAGGAGAAGGGGAAGGGGAAGGGGAAGGGGAAGGGGAAGGGGAAGGGGAAGGGAAAGGGGAAGGGGAAGGTCCAGGGATGGAGAGGAGGAAACCTGGCTGAAAAGTGGTGAAGCTCGGCTATGCTGCGTGGGCAGTCAGGGGTGCAGAGACTGAGGAGAGAAGCCACCCTTCATCCCTGGAGCAGGAGGCTGCGGACTTTTTGCAGATCCAGAATTTGGCGACACTACATCTGTCGTCGTTCCAGCCTTTGCCGTTAAATTCCGCACAGTCTTCCTCCCCGATATTGTTGGGCTCTCCTTGGTTCCAATACCGCTTGAGGCTGCAAAGCCCATGTGGAATGTGACCCTCTGCCCTGCCTACTATATGAGCTGTGTTTCTACCTTCTGTAATCTTGATGCTTTTTTTTTTTTGGTATTTGTAGTAGAGACGGGATTTGATCATGTTAGCCAGGATGGTCTCGATCTTCTGACCCCGTGATCCACCCACCTCGGCCTCCCAAAGCGCTGGGATTACAGGCATGAGCCACCACACCCAGTCTGATACACTATGCTTTAACACACCCACCTGGGTGGCAGGCTCCTCCTGCAGCTCTGCTGGTGGAATTTTAGGCACCTGCTAACCCGTCTGCAGGTGGGTATGAAGACCACCTTTCTCAACTCAGTAAAACCCCCAGATTCTTGAATCTAGGGTGTCAGAGAGTGGGGGAGGATCCCAAGGGAAAGTTCAAGTCGGGTTTCAGGACCCCAGTCCCACTGGATAGGATGTCCCCTTCTCCCGGGATCTACCTGGGTGACAGAGGTGAGCCATCCACCCACTGCCATGTGTTTTCCTCATGTAGGTCTGAAAGTCCCATCCAGGCCAAGCGGTTGCTTCTGGAAGACTGCAGCTGCAGGAAGTTCTGGAGGGTGGAGGAGGAGTCAGGAGGGAGTTCTGCTTCCCACTTTCCAGGCTCCACCTCCCCATCTCTTGGCAGGAAGTTCTGCTTGTAGGCTAACCTTCAGCCTTCCCATATACTGGGTCCTAAGTGCCCTCTCCCACATCTGAGTCTCTCACATGTGTCTCCCACAACACATGTGTCCTGACATGCAGGCATCCATGCACAGCTGCCCTCTCCTCACACACTCTTGCTAATCCTGCCTGTCCATCCGTTTCACACGTTCCATGCAGGCCCACACAAATTTACTCATAATTGGGCTTAATAATGTATTGGAGCCAAATCCAACCATTTCCTAATTGCTGGTCAGGAACATCTCCTTTCAGCTCTGCACGGAGAGACGTCACATTGACGTTTGAAATCAGCTGCCATGGGAATATTTACACCAGGGAAATTAGCCAACATGACACATCAGGACTTTTCCCCTCAAGAGAGCTGGTTGTTAAATACTTGCAGCACGCCACTGGGGTTTACTTATATTTGATATTTTCCCCAGAACATTCACACGTGTTCAGATCTAGTTTGTATCTGCTCTAAGGGTGCTTGAGACGCCCTCATTCATATCCTTCTCCTCCCATCTTTCCAAGTGGAGCAAAGCCCCTCTTCTGCAAAATCCCCTCTGAGAATCTCCTCTCTGGTTGGCCAGAAGCCATGCCCCAGGCCAGGCCAAGGACCCCACCAGGTGTACCTGCTCCTCGTCACTTTTGATTATGACGAGCTGGGCCCCCACTTCCCGGCAGGCGGTGACAGAGTCGTGCCAGTTGCGCTGGGAGTTAGACATGAAGTAACAGTTTCCTTGGAAGAATGTCCATTCCCAGGGACAGGGGCGGCACAGGCGTTCTGTTGGGGGACACTGGTCATGAGTAGACTCAGATTAGGTTACCCATATTCCTGTGTGTTCCCAGCCTTCAAGATCTTGAGAATTGTGGCCCTTCCTTGACTGTCCACACTGGGTGGACCATTTCCCTCCCCACTTCCCGAGACCCTCCTCCATCCCCAGGAAAACCCAGGAGTCCTGGCCCCATCTCCTCCAGACTAGGAAAAGTCAGGGCTTTAGAGCTCAGAACAGAAGGCGAGAGACTATCTTAACTGCGTGCCTACCACGTACCTGGCCCACTGAGAACACTGAGTGAGATCATCACTGTTCATCTGTGTTCTCATTTCACAGAGGAGAAAACTGAGACCCAGAGAGGGTCCGTGACTCAAACAAAGTCACACCACATGGAAACGCTCCCAGGCCCAAGGACCCCTGGCATCTGGCCACTCACCCACCGCAGCCTTCAGCTGGGTCAGATCCTGGGAGATCTCCTGCATGGAATGCTCCTGCCTCTGGGAGCTGGGGTTCTTGGAGACTGGGCAAGGGAAGAAACTGTAATTATTTATTTATTTATTTATTTATTGAGATGGAGTCTTGCTCTGTCGCCCAGGCTGGAGTGCAGTGGCACAATCTCGGCTCATTGCAACCTCTGCCTCCTGGGTTCAAGCAATTCTCCTGCCTCAGCCTCCTGAGTAGTTGGGATTACAGGTGCATACTACCATGCCCGCCTAATTTTTTTTTTTTTTTTGTATTTTTAGTAGAGATGGGGTTGCATCATGTTGGTCAGGCTGGTCTTGAACTCCCAACCTCGTGATCCACCTACCTCGGCCTCCCAGAGTGCTGGGATTACAGGCATGAGACACTAAGCCGAGCCTTAGAAATTGCAATTATTAAACACCCGCCATGTACCATGCCCTACACTGTGCCCCTAAGGATATCATTTCTGAGCACCAAAATCTTGTTTAAACTCTTTTGTGGATAAGAAAAACTGACACCCAGAGAAGGCGGCTTGAAAGGGCCAGGAGAGCCAGGTTCCTCCTTCCCTCCCCCGCCCTGGAGGTGGGAGTGGTCCTGGGGAGAGGCCCCTAGAAACCTAACGGGAAAGAAGACCAGCTTTTAGGCTCTCGTTCCTCCTGGACCTGGCCACCCCCAGCTACATCTACAGCAGAAGAACCAGGCCTGGGAGGCCAGGACTCTCAGAGCCTGCAGCTGACCTTGGATGAGGATGGCCACTAGGAGCCCAGTGAAGAGCATGAAGGAGAGGAGCAGCAGTACCAGCGGCGTGTGGCCCAGACACCCTGCAGGAGAAAACATTGCTCGGTTTCAGCATGCCAGTGTCCAAGCCTCAGCCTGGCCCAGGGAAACCCGGGCCCCAGCCCCATCTCCCCAGGTGGCAGGAGTCAAGACCCCAGCCCCCACCAACCCAGACCCAGGAGTCCAGGAACCCAGCCCTTACCTCGCAGATCCTAGGAATGAAATCCCCAGCCCCCACCTCCCCAAGACCCAGGAACCCAGGTCCCAGCCTCTACCTTAAGGCTAAGGTCTCAGTAGTCCAGGCCCCAGCCTCCGCCTCCTTAGGACCCAGGAGTCCAGGATCCTCCTCCTACCTCCTCAGGATTCAGGAGTCCAGACCCCAGCCCTCACCTCCCCAGGACCCAGGAACCCAGGCCCAAGCTTCCATCTCTCCATGTCCCAGGAGTCCAGACTCCAGCCTCCACCTCCCTCGGACACAGGAGTCCAAGCCCCAGCCCCTACCTCCTCATGTCCTAGAAGTCCAGACCCCAGCCACCAGTTCTCCAGGACCCAGGAACCCACGCCCCAGCCTCCACCTCCCTAGGTTCTAGGAGTCCAGGCTCCAGCCACCAGCTTCCCAGGACTCAGGAAGGGAGGCTCCTGTCCTCCTCTCTTCCAAGTAACTCTTCTCTACCTGCTAAGCTCTTGTAGCCTCGAGTCTGTCGGAATCCAAAGTCTCTTGGAAAAAAATTCATACCGCTGGTTATCAGCTCTTCCTCTTCTGAATGGATAAACAAGAACTCAGAGCCTGGGCAGCCTGAGGCCAGGGCTGGCCCTCCCCTTCCCCAACCCAGGACCCCAGAGCCCCAACTCAGCCTCACCCAAGAGGCCCAGTGGCTGTGCCCTTGGTTCCTTGGAGTCACTCATGTTTCCTGACTGTCCCTCAATATCCAGAACTTCTGGGGAGCACAGCTCTTATTTCCCACCTCGTGAGCCTCACTCCCTAAATCTCTTCTTGTGGAAGAAGAAAAACAGGAAACTGGGGAAGGATGTAACACCCGAAAGCCTAGTGGGAGGGGGCAGAGCATGAGATGGTCCTGACTTGCAGAAGTTTCAAGGAGCTGGGGGGGATGGTCTGAGGTTGACAGGGAGAAGGATTTGTCCACTGACGGCATCGCTGAGCTGTGCGATGCTTTTAATGAAATCTAGTAAGTTTGCATGAAAAGCAACTTGGTTATACCCCTCCACCTAGGGCAGGGATGGTCAGGCAGAGCCCTTAGTTCCTGGAACCGTCATCCCCCTGACCTCCAGGCTTGGTTGCCTTGCTCTGAGGATGTCCTCATTCATGAGAATTTCTGCTGACTTTGGGAGTTGGAGCTGAATCATAATTGCTTGTTTATTTAACGCCTATTAACGGTCAAGCACTTTTCAAGCAAGTTTATAAACTCATTCGTTTGAATCTTCCTACCCTTCTGGTAGATCATGTGATTTCCATTTTGCAGTGAGCCAGGATGGCACCGCCACTGCATTTCAGCCTGGGTGACAGAGCAAGACCTTGTCTCACACTCAAAAAGAGCCATGCCTTGTAATTATCAAAATTATTATAAGCTTGGCTTGAGTTTCTCCCAAAGCAGAGCTTGAGACAAGGATTTGGATACAAGTAGCTTATCAGGGAGGAGATTCCAAGAAGCACCAGCAGGCGGTGGGAAAAATGAAGAGAAGCAGGTAGGAAAAGGAAGGAACCCAATACAAAGGCACCAATGAGCTTATTATGACTGAAAATGGCAACTGGGCTCAATTCCCCTGGGAGCCTTTGGGAGTTGACGTAGAACAAGCCTCACAGTTCCTCTGCCCGTTGAAGGTCAACTCTAAGAAAGATGGAAATTGCAAGCTGTTTATGAAGGACCATCTTTGAGGTCAACATCAGTAGAAGGGAAGTGAATTTTATTGGGTCTTATTTACATCAAAAAAAAAAAAAAGTTCTCTAATACTAGCTTCCTGGAGTTAGCACCACATTCCACAAGTTAAAGGGCTAGGTCTCAAAAGACTGACCCTACTTCAGACACCAGGTGCAAAGACAATGCCTTTGCATTGTCTATCCACACTTCTGCCAGGCCGGCAAAAAATTTGGGGTTCCCCCAAGTCCCTCTCAGGTTCAGTAATTTCCTAGAATAATTTAGAGAACTCAAAAAAACATTATTCTTAGGTTACCGAACTAAATTGCTCAGTTTGCCTGCTCACAGTGGAAAACCAAACACTGAACCACTGGGGTTTTGTAGAAACATTTATTGCAAGGCAGCCAAGCACGGAGACAGCCATCTGGCCCTTAACTGTCTCTCCAAGCTGGGAGCTGCCGCAGCTTTCATACACAGAGGGTAGAGAAGTGTGATCTGATTGGCTCTTGTAATGAGGGGATTCAGGAGGCTTGAACTGATTGGATCACACCATGGAGTGATGCCGGGGCTCAATCTGATTGGATCACAGGATCATGCCACGTGATATCCACTTCTTAACTCAGTCCCTGTTGCTTAGTCTGAGCACGCAGGTTCTAACTGGGTTTGCACATTTAGTTCAAATCTGGGCGTGCTCAGGGTAGTAACTTGCTCCCTGGGAGTCCATGGCAACTGAAAAACAACTTGCCATTTTTTTACACAAAGTTGAACCAGACTGGGCTGGATCTGCCGTTACAGTGTTTACCAGTTTATGATAAAAGGGTACAACTGGAGGGGCGGTGTGGTGCCGGCAAGATGGCTGCACCCAAGAAGATGGTATTTCCAGAGAAACCAAGCCATGAAAAGTACAGGGCTGCCCTGAAGGAGGAGAAACCAAAGAAACACTGGCAGGGACTTCTTCGATTAAGAGACTCAGGACTCTCACAGGAGGAGGAGGAGGGGAAGGGGGAGAGGGAGGGGGAGGGAGAGGGGAGAGGGAGAAGGGAGAGGAGAGGGGGAGGGGAGGGGAGGGGGAGGGGAGGGGAAAAGGAGAGGGAAGGAGGGAGGAGGAGACTTATTGAAGAACAACAACTAGAAGAGAAACTATTGGAAAGGGAAAGGCAAAGATTACATGAGAGAAAGGTTGCTGAGAAAGCAGGAAGCACAAGAAGAATTCAGAATAAAGAAGGAAAAGGAAGAGGCGGCTAGAAAACAGCAAGAAGAACAAGAGAGAAAGTTAAGGGAACAATGGGAGGAACAGCAGAGGAAGAGAGAGAAGAGCAGGAGCAGAAACGACAGGAGAAAGAACAGCAGCTGTGCAGAAGATGCTGGATCAGGCTGAAAATGAGTTGGAAAATGGTTCCACATGGCAAAATCCAAAATCACCCGCGAATTTCAGATTAAGGGAGAAGGGTGGAGCTAATTGTCCCTGCTAGAGTAAAACAGGAGCTTGCAGATTTGGAGATGGATGTTCACCTAAACATAATTGCCCAACATCCAGCCCCGCCATCATCATCATCATTATTATTATTGAGATGGAGCTTTGCTTTTGTTGCCCGGGCTGGAGCGCAATGGCACGATCTCAACTCACCACAACCTCTGCCTCCCAGGTTCAAGCGACTCTCCTGCCTCAGCCTTCCGAGTAGCTGGGATTACAGGCATGAACCACCGTGCCCTGGGAGTTTGTATTTTTAGTAGAGATAGGGTTTCCCATGTTAATCAGGCTGATCTCAAACTCCTGACCTCAGGTGATCCACCCACCTCGGCCTCCCAAAGTGCTGCTTCCCTTGTTATTGAGAGCATGTTTACAATGTTTGGGATGGAGCAGTGCAGGAGGGATGACTATGACCCTGACACCAGCATGGAGGACAGCGAGGAAGAAACCTACCCACAATTCCTAGATTTCTATGAGGATGTGCTGCCCAAGGTCAAGAACGTGGGGAGAGTGATTCAGCTCAGGGTCAGCTGCAACTTGAAAGCTCACCTGAGGGGCAATGTATATGTTCACTACCAGTTGGAAGCAGAATAACAAGCAGCCCTTCCTCCGTTTAACGGACGATGGTATACAGGACCACACCTTCAGTGTGAATTCTGCCCAGTGACCCGGTGGAAAATGGTGATTTGTAGTTTGTTTGAAAAACAACAACATCGAACAGGAAAACACTGCCACTTTCTCCGTGTGTTCAGAAATCCCATCAATGAATTCTGGGAAGTGAAGAGAGACATCTGCTTGTCTCCAGATCGGACTGGCTCCTCCTTTGGCAAGAACTCCGAGAGGAGAGAGAGGATGGGCCACAGCAGGCAGTGGGGAAGGAGGAACCCTAGTTCAGGCCACTCCTACAAACGAAATGGGGAATCCGAGAGGAAAAGGAGTAGTCACCGGGGAAGAAATCTCACAAGCACACATCAAAGAGTCAGGAGAGGCACAGTTCATGAAGCAGAGGAAGAAATAGGCACCACAGCAGGGGCCGGGGCAGCTGAAGCCAGAGCCGCAGGAGCCATCGCAGCCGGAGCCAAAGTTCCTCTAGGTCCCGAAGTCGCGGCAGGAGGTCAGGTCGTAGAGTCAGAACTGTTCAGACTCCCAGATCCAAATAAACCTGTTTTATTCTTTAAAAAATAAAAGACCAGGCATAGTGGCTCACACCTGTAATCCCAACACTTTGGGAGGCCGAGGTGGGCGAATCATCTGAGGTTGGGAGTTCGAGACCAGCCTGACCAACCGGGAGAAACGCTATCTCTACTAAAAATACAAAAAATTATCTGGGTGTGGTGGCACCTGCCTGTAGTCCCAGCTACTGGGGAGGCTGAGGCAGGAGAATCACTTGAACCTGGGAGGCAGAGGTTATGGTGAGCCGAGATTGCCCCATGGCACTCCAGCCTGGGCAACAAGAGTGAAACTCTGTCTCAAAAAATAACATTAATAAAGACTACAACTTAGAAGCAGCCCAATGGAAGCCATGTATAGGACAAAAGAAGGTGTGGGAGGTGGAAGGGATTGCATGGAGCCTCCATGCCCTCTTGGGGTGCCATTGGTGATGGGGAATTAATTCCCTTGTGTTTCCAGCCTGTATAATGAGCATTTGCAACCAGTAAGTCCCAGCCAAAAGGGCGCAGGAGGTGGTAGGTGAAAGTTGAACAGAGGGTAGGTTGTGTGTATGAGATAATACCCCAGGGGACACAGAAACGACACATGGCAACCCATTCTTATCTCTGAAAGGAAGAGAGAGCAGATTCATGGAACACAAGCACACCCCCCAAAGGCATCCCACAACAGCTCATTCGTAAAGCTCCAGGGATGGGCCAGAAAAACAAGCGTACACCAGGGGAGACTGGAAGCATGACAAGAAGGACAGAATGGGACACAGCCTTCTAAAGGAGGATGAATCTGACAGAGAACAGTCCCAGAGATTTTGTGAAGGTCCAAGGATGGAGAGAAGGAACTGTAGCTTCAAAGTGCATGTCCACCCAAATTTACTCGTAACTGGGCTTAATGTATTGGAGCCAGATCCAGCCACTTCCTAATTGCTGGTCACACACATCTTTCAGCTCTGCACTGAGTGACATCACATTAATGTCTGAAATCAGCCACAGAGGGAATATTTACACCAGGGTAATGGGCAAACACAACACATCAGGACTTTTCCCCCCAGAGAGCTGGGCGAATTCTGCTACCCAGCATGGGGGTTTGAGGTGGTAGGGGGTCAGGAGAGAAGCCTTTCTTAATCCCTGGAGCAGGAGGCTGCAGACTTTTTGCAGATCCAGAATTTGGCGGCACTACATCTCTCGTCGTTCCAGCCGTTGCCCTTAAATTCCACACAGTCTTCCTCCCCGATATTGTTGGGCTCTCCTTGGTTCCAATACCGCCTGAGGCTGCAAAGCCCATGTGGAATGTGAGCCTCTGCCCCGCCTACTATATGAGCTGTGTTTCTACCTTCTGTAATCTGTGATCTTGATGCTTCAACATTGGCCCTGCCTGTGCATGCTGGCCACGAATTGCTCTGCACTCCCTATAATATGCCTGAGTGCCTTGATTCCTGCCTCTCGTCACAACCTGTCCTTGGGTGGACTCCACTACTGAGGGTGTGATTTTCAAACACAAACCAACCAACCTGGAGTCCACACCCCCAACCACCTGCCTTATTGGGCTCTTGTACTCCAAGCCACTATCCTATGCTAATCACCCCAAGCCCCGGTGTCAGGCAGCCCCTATGCCCCGAGCCCAAAAAATGCTTCATACTTGCCAGTCCTAAGCCTGCTTGTCTGACCTTGACCTTTCCTTTCCTTACAAACCATAATAAAGGCTCTGGCCCACAGTCCCCGCTCCCCATCACTCTGCCTCATAACAGATCTGGTGCTTCCCCAGGAGGCCCCCAGCTGTAATGTATTCTCTCTCTCTAGGGAGCTGTGACTATGCATATGAGAAGCTATTCACAATAGCAATTGTCTCCTAAGCTGGTGGCCTTACTAGACCTCAGACTTCCTATTAATACACTATATTGTAACACACCCACCCTCGAGGCAAGCTCCTCCTGCAGCTCTGCAGGTGGAATTTTAGGTCTCTGCCATGCCGTCTGCAGGTGGGTATGAAGACCACCTTCCTCAACTCAGTAAATACCCCAGATTCTTGGGTCTAAGGTGTCAGGGAGTGGGGGAGGGTCCCAAGGGAAAGTTCAAGTTGGGTTTCAGGACCCCAGTCCCACTGGAAAGGATGTCCCCTTCTCCCGGGATCTACCTGGGTGACAGAGGTGAGCCATCCACCCACTGCCATGTGCCTTCCTGCTTTAGGTCTGAAAGTCCAATCCAGGTCAAGCGGTTCCTTCTGGAAGACTGCAGCTGTAGGAAGTTCTAGAGGGTGGAGGAGTCAGGAGGGAGTTCTGCTTCCCACTTTCCAGATTCCACCTCCCATCTCTCGGCAGGAAGTTCTGCTTGTAGGCTAACCTTCAGCCTTCCCATATACTGGGTCCTAAGTGCCCCCCCCCCCCGGTCTGAGTCTCTCACATGTGTCTCCCACAACACATGTGTCCTGACATGCAGGCATCCATGCACAGCTGCCCTCTCCTCACACACTCTTGCTAATCCTCCCTGTCCATCCGTTTCACACGTTCCATGCAGGCCCACACAAATTTACTCGTAATTGGGCTTAATAATGTATTGGAGCCAAATCCAACCATTTCCTAATTGCTGGTCAGGAACATCTCCTTTCAGCTCTGCACGGAGAGACGTCACATTGACGTTTGAAATTAGCCACAGTAGGAATATTTACACCAGGGAAATTGGCAAACACAACACATCAGAATCTTTTCCCCCAGAGAGCTGGTTATTAAACACTTGCAGCACGCCACTGGGGTTTGCTTACATTGGATGTTTTGTTCCGTTTTTTTGAGATGGAGTTTCACTCTTATCGCCCAGGCTGGAGTGCAATGACACAATCTCAGCTCATTGCAACTTCCACCTCCCGGGTTCAAGTAATCCACCTGCCTCAGCCTCCCAAAGTGCTGGGATTACAGGTGCCTGCCACCACATCGGGCTACTTTTTGTATTTTTCAGTTGAGATGGGGGTTTCAACATGTTGGCCAGGCTGGTCCTGAACTCCTGACCTCAGGTGATCCACCCACCTCAGCCTCCCAAAGTGCTGGAATTACAGGCATGAGCCACTGTGCCCCGCCACGTTTGATGTTTTTTCCACATGTTCAGTCTTGTTTGTATCTGCTCTAAGGGTACTTGGGACGCCCTCATTCATATCCTTCTCCCATCTTTCCAAGTGGGGCAAAGCCCCTCTTCTGCAAAATCCCCTCTGAGAATCTCCTCTCTGGTTGGCCAGAAGCCATGCCCCAGGCCAGGCCAGAGACCCCACCAGGTGTACCTGCTCCTCATCACTTTTGATTACGACGAGCTGGGCCCCCACTTCCCGGCAGGCGGTGACGGAGTCGTGCCAGTTGCGCTGGGAGTTAGACATGAAGTAACAGTTTCCTTGGAAGAATGTCCATTCCCGGGGACAGGGGTGACACAGGCGTTCTGTTGGGGAAGACTGGTCAGATCAAGTTGCCCATGTTCCTGTATCTGCCCAAGCTTCAAGCCCTTGAGAATCAGAGCGCTTCCTTGACTGTCCATGCTGGGTGGACCATTTCCCTCCCCACTTTCTGAGTCCCTCCCCCATCCTCATGAGAACGCAGGAGTCCTGGCCCTATCTCCCCCAGACTAGGAGAAGTAAGGGCTTTAGAGCTCAGAACAGAAGGCAGGGGACAGGCTTAACTGAGTAGCTACTAGGTACCTGGCCCACTGTGAACACTGGGTGCAATGATCACAGTTACCCTGTGTTCTCATTGCACAGATGAGGAAACTGAGACTCAGATGGGGTCAGTGACTCAAGCAAACTCACACCACACAATGACCATCTCAGGCCCAAGGATCCCGGTTTCAGGAACTCACCCACCGCAGCCTTCAGCTGGGTCAGCTCCTGGTAGATCTCTTGTTGTTTGGATTTCTCTGGGAGCTTACCCACCGCAGCCTTCAACTCAGTCAGCTTCTGGTACATCTCTTGTTGCTTGGATTTCTCTGGGAGCTTACCCACTGCAGCCTTCAGCTGCGACAGTTCCTGGTAGATCTCCTGTTGCTTGGATCTGTCTGGCAACTCACTTACTGCAGCCTTCAGCCGTGTCAGCTCCTGGTAGATTTCCTGTTGCTTGGACCGCTCCGGCAACTCACCCACTGCAGCCTTCAGTTGGGTCAGCTCCTGGTAGATTTCCTGCTGCTTAGATTTCTCTGGGAGCTTACCCACTGCAGCCTTCAGCTGTGACAGTTCCTGGTAGATCTCCTGTTGCTTGGACCTGTCTGGCAACTCACTTACTGCAGCCTTCAGCTGTGTCAGCTCCTGGTAGATTTCCTGCTGCTTGGACCGCTCTGGCAACTCATCCACGGCAGCCTTCAGTTGGGTCAGCTCCTGGTAGATTTCCTGCTGCTTGGATTTCTCTAGGAGCTCACCCACTGTGGCCTTCAGCCGGGTCAGCTCCTGGTAGACCTCCTGTTGCGTGGATTGCTCTGGGAGCTCACCCACTGTGGCCTTCAGCTGGGTCAGTTCCTGGTAGATCTCCTCTTGCTTGGTTTGTCCCTGACTTATGCAGCCGGGGACCTTGGACACTGGGCCAAGAAGAAAAGAAAGAACTGCAATTATTAAACACCTACTGTGTGCCAAGCCCTGAACTGACCCCCATAGGGACATCATTTGTGAGAGCCAAGGTCTTGTTTAATCCCCTTTGAAGAGGAGGAAAACTGACACCCAGAGAAGGCAGCACAGAAGGCCAAGGAAAGCCAGGTTCTTTCCCGCCTCCGCCGCCGCCTCCTCCTCCTCCTCCTCCTCCTCCTCCTCCTCCTCCTCCTCCTCCTCTTCCTCCTTCCTCTTCTCTCCTGCCCTAGGGTAGGGAGGGGCTGTGGGAGAGGCCCCTACAAACCCCAAGGGACAACATCTTGGCTCTCAGCCCCACCTCCCTCACAGACCTGGCTACTCCAGGCTCTGTTCACAGCCAAAAGGCCAGGCCTGGGGACCCCAGACCTCAGAACCTGCCCCTGACCTTGGACAAGGATGGCCACCAGGAGCCCAGCCAAGAGTGTGAAGGAGAGGAGTTGCCGCACCAGGGGGCCATGACCAAGACACCCTGAGAGAGGATACGTGTGTCAGCCTGCCAGTGTCCCCAGCTGTGCCTGGCCTGGGAAGAGCCTGGCCTAAATCCCCAGGACCCAGGAACCCAGTCCCCAGCCTCCCCCTCCCAAGTCCCAGGAGCTTAGGTCCCAGCCCCCACCTCCCCGGGTCCCAGGAACCCAGGTACCTACTTCCACCTCTCCAGGACCCAGGAATCCAGGCCTCAGCCTCTAACCCCCAGGTCTCAGGAACCCAGCCCCCAGCCCCCACCCCCCCAGGCCCCAGCCTCCCCTTCCCCAGGCCCCAGTAACCCAGATACTGGCTCCCACCTCCCCAGGTCCCAAGAATCCGGGTCCCAGCCCCTACATCCCCAGATCCCAGGAATCAAGGCCCAAGCCCCCACCTCCCTAGGACCCAGGAGTCCACGCCTAAGCCCCCACCTCCCCAGGACCCTGGAGTCCAGGCCCCTGCCCTCTCCTTTCTAGGACCCTGGAACCCAGTCTCCAACTTCTATCTCACCAGAACCCAGAAGCCTTGGCTCCAGCCTCCACCTTCCCAGGGACCAGGAATTCAGGCCCCAAGCCCCACATTCCCAGGACCCAGGAGTCCAGGAGTCTCTGTTCTCTCCTCCCTGCCTGCTAACTCTTCTCTACCTGCTAAGCTCTTGTAGCCTCGAGTCTGTCGGAATCCAAGGCCTGTCAGCTGTTCCTCCTCTGAATGGATAGACATGAACTCAGAGCCCAGGCAGGCTGAGACCAGGGCTGGCCATCCCTTCCCACTTCCCAGAATCCCAGCATCCCAACCCAGCCTCACCCAGGAAGCCCATCTGCTGTAATCTTGGTTCCTGGGAGTCACTCATGTTGCCCCAGAGTCCCCCAGTGTCCACTAGTGTCCAGAACTGCTGGGGATCACAGCTTTTATTTCCCACCCTGCAATCTTTACTTCCTAAATCTACTCTCCCACAGGAAGAGAAACAGGAAGTCGGGTAGGGACCTATCACCTAAAAGGCTAGTGGAAGGGGTCAGAACCTGAGAAGGGCCAGATCATTCAGGAATTTTGGGGAGGGGGTGGGGGATGGTCTCTGGTTGACAGGGAGAAGGGCCCATCCACTCATGGTGGCATGGCTGAGCAGTAGGATGCTTTTAATGAAATCTGATAAATTCTAAGAGAAAGCTAATTTGTTATACCCTCTCCACCTAGGACAAGGGTGGGCAGGTAGCACCCCCAGTTCCTGGAAGCACTGTCTCTTGTGACCTCCTGGCTTTCTGCCTTGGGCTGCTGCTGTCTTCATTTTTGGGGATTCCTGCTGACTTTGGGAGTTGGGGCTGAATCATAATTGCTTGTTTTTTGAATGCCTAGGATAGTCAGGTACTTTCCAACAGCTTTATAACCTCATTCATCTAATCTTCCTACTCTTCAGTAGATCATGTGACCTCCATCGCACAGATGGGGAAACTGAGGAGGTACTGCAAGGTTAGATAACTTGCCCAAGATCACACCGCTGGTAACTGGTGGAGCTGAGACTTTAACCCAGACGGTCTGCCTCCACAGTGCACACTTTTAACCAAAGAGTGAAATAGTATCAAAGAGGAAAGAAAAGATTCATAGCAGCTTTATTTAGAATAATCTAAAATTGGAACGATCCTGTGCCCACCAGTATTTGAATGATAAAAAATATAACGGCATATTCAGAGACTGGAATACTATACAGCAATAAAAAATCACAGCACTGATACATTTAATAATGTAGATGAATCTCACAAAACAGTGAAAGGACCCAGACAGAGTACATACTCTAAGATTTGATTTTATATGAATGTTGAGAGCAGGCAGAACAAACCTTTGAAGGAGACTCAGAATGGGAATTATCTGGAAGGAGCAGGTGGGGGTTACAAGGGAGTGTCTGTATTCTGGAAATCTTCTATATTTTGATCATAGAGATGTGTCTTTAACCACATATGTGTTAAATCTCAATTTAAAGGCAGAAAATACATATGTGCATCATAATCAAATAGTGGTTTTGACCTGATCTTTACTTTGTATTTTTAAATTTTTTTATTTTAGAATAATTTTGAATTTATAGAAAAGTTGCAAATGTAGGAAAGAGATTTCTCATACGTTAATCCCTAACCTAGGGATCCCTAATGTGAATCCAGTTTCTCCTAATGGTAACATTTTGCATGGTAATGAGGTAGGGGACAGACAAATGTGTTTTCTAGTCACAACCCTGCAGACCATACAGAATCTGGTCCAGATGAGATGATGTGAAGAAACCAGCAGGAACCAGCAGATGGCAACAAAAGCGATCCCTGGCTGCCTCATTGCCCACTGGCATAGGATGCTCCCATTAGTGCCATGACGGTTTACCAATGCCATGGCAATGACCCAGAAGTTACCACCTCTTTCTCTGGAAACAACTTGGAAGTCACTGCCTTTTCCCCAAAAACTTCTAAAGAACCTGTCCCTCAATTTGCATGGACCCACTCCTTTACTGACATATAACTGAAAGTGGGTTGACATGAGTATAAATGCAATTGCCAAAATCTTGTATGTTGTTGGTTCTGGGTGCACTGCCTATGAGTTAGCCTTGCTTCACAAGGAGCAATACTATTAAATAAAAAATCTCTGTCTGACATCACTGGCTCACCATTGAATTCTTCTTGAGTGAAGCCAAGAACCCTCCCAGGCTAAGTCCCAATTTTGGGTTCACCTGTCCTGCAACATTTGGCGACCACAAAGGGATAAAGACGATGAGCAAGAGGCAGTGACTGATTCAGCACTACTGGCGGTAATTGGCAGCAAGACGGCGAGACAGTGGTGATCACTGAGGAATCAGAAAGACAGCAGAGACGATGGCGATTGGTGATGGGCAGAGAGGTGAATCAGCAAGAGATGGCAAGACAGCAAGGTGGCAACTGGTAAGGCAGAAGGAGATGGCAATTGGTGATCGGTGTTCAGTGGGACAGAGAGGTGGTGATTGGAGAGTGATGGAGAGGTGGCAATCAAAGACAGACAGGTGGTATATTAGTATGTTTTCACACTGCTGATAAAGACATACTGGACACTGGGCACTTTATAAGAAAAAGAGGTTTAATGGGCTCACAGTTCGACATAGGGAGGCCTCACAGTCATGGTGGAAGGCAAAAGGTAAGTCTTACATGGCAGCAGACAAGAGGGAATGAGAGAGGCAAGTAAAAGGGTTTTCCCCTCATAAAACCATCAGGTCAGCCAGGCGCTGTGGCTCACGCCTGTAATCCCAACACTTTGGGAGGCCAAGGTAGGTGGATCACCTGAGGTCGGGAATTTGAGACCAGCCTGACCAACATGGAGAAACCCCGTCTCTACTACAAATACAAAACATTAGCTGGGCATGCTGGCACATGCCTGTAATCCCAGCTACTTGGGAGGCAGAGACAGGAGAAGGCCCAAATAAACAAAATCAGATACATAAAGGAGATGAACCACAGAAATACACAGAAAAAGAATCATCAGAGACTATTATGAACAACCAACCACATGCTAACCAAATTAGAAGACCTAGAGGAAATGGATAAATCCCTGGACATCTCACAGCCAAGGGTTCTGTCTTAAACAACTGTCCACATACAGTTCACCAGGAGTCATAGCAAAAACTGTAAACAAGACTGGGCACAGTGGCTCACGCCTGTAGTCCCAGCACTTTGGGAGGCCAAGGGAGGTGGATGACTCAAGGTCAGGGGTTTGAGAGCAGCCTGGTAAACATGGGAAAACTATCTCTTCTAAAAATACAAAAATTAGCCAGACGTGTTCACTTGAACCCAGGAGGCAAAGGTTGCAGTGAGTTGAGATCATGCCACTGCACTCCAGCCTGGGTGACAGAGAGGCAGATGGATCACTTGAGGTCAGAAGTTCGAGACCAGGCTGGCCAGCATGGTGAAACCCCCATCTCTACTAAAAATACAAAAAAAAAAATTAGCCAGGTATGGTGGAACACACCTGTAATCCCAGCTGCTCAGGAGGCTGAGGCTGGAGAATCGCCTGAACCTGGAAGGTGGAGGTTGCAGTGAGCCAAGGTTTCACCACTGCACTCCAACCTGGGCAACATGACAAGACTCTATCTCCAATAAATAAATAAATAAATAAATAAATAAATAAATAAATAAATAAAATACAAAAATTAGCCAGATATGGTGGCACATGCCTGTAGTCACAGCTACTCAGGAAGTTGAGGCAGAAGAATCACTTGAATCTGAGAGGTGGAGGTTGCAGTGAGCTGAGATCGTGCCACTGCACTCCAGCCTGGGTGACAGAGTGAGACTGACTCAAAAAAAAAAAAAAAAAACACTAAAGAAAAGAAATGTTGACATATAAATTCATGCATGCAGCCACTTCTCAGATCAAAATAGGGAACGCTGTCAGCAGAAAACTTCCTTCTACCCCATTTTACACCCAACCCTTCCAGAGAGCCCCGAATTTGAGTTCCATCAAAGGTTAGTTCTTCTGCCTATTCTGTAAACTCACGTGAACTCAAAATCTTACAAAATGTATTCATTCTGTCTCGGTTTCTTAACTCTTGTGAGAGTCACCCAAATTGTTGCATGTGTCAGCACTCTGCTTTTTCATTACCGTATAGAATTCCACTCTCTGACTATGCCATGATATTGCTGGAAGCCACATGGGTTCTTCCAATTTGGGATGTTCTGACTACAGTTACTATAAATCTTTTATTTTGCTCTCGATGCTGTTGGCCCCTCTTTGGTTAGCTAGGTTGAGTGCGGAGGCAAACTGCCTGGATTCAAATCTCAGCTCCACCATTTACCAGCTGTGTGACCTTGGGTTCATTTCCTAATCTCACTGTGCCTCAGTTTCCCCCATCTGTAAACTGGAGGTCACATGATCTACTGCAGGGCAGGAAAGTTAAATGAATAAGTTTACAATGTTATTGGACACATGCCTGTCATAGGCATTAAATAAACAAGCAGTTCTCTCACACCTGTAATACCAGCACTGTGGGAGGCTGAGGAGTTCAAGACCAGCCTGACCAACATGTTGAAACCCCATCTCCACTAAAAATACAAAAATTAACTGGGCGTGGTGGTGAGTGTCTGTAATCTCAGCTATTTGGGAGGCTGAGGCAGGAGAATTGCTTGAACCCAGGAGGCAGAGGTTGCAGTGAGCCAAGATGGTGCCACTGCACTCCAGCCTGGGCAACAGAGTAAGACGCTGTCTCAAAACCAAAACAAAAAACAAGCAATTATCATTTATCTCCTACTCCCAATATCAAAGGAAATCCCCATGAATGAGAGCATCAGCTGACCAAGGCAGCAGCTCCTGGGGGTCAGAGGGGATGGTGGTTCCAAGAACTAGGGGTACTGCCTGCCCACCCCTGCCCTAGGTGGAGGGGCCTAATAAAGTAATGCTCCATTAGAATGAATTGGATTTTATTAAAAGCGTTCCCATCCTCTCCAGCATCTGTTGTCTCCAGATTTTTTAATGATCGCCATCCTAACTGGCGTGAGGTGGTATCTCAATGTGGTTTTGATTTGCATTTCTCTAATAACCAGTGACAATGAGCATTTTTTCATATGTTTGTTGGCCTCAGAAATGCCAGATGTGGGTGATGGGGGGATGGAGGCAGCAAGCCACATTGCCAGGTGTGTACCTAGGCAACAATCCTGCGTGATCTGCACAGGTACCCCAGAACATAAAGTACAATAAAACATTAAAATTAAAATTAATTAAGTAATTAAGTAAAACTTTATTACAAGCCTGTCCTATTTTGTGCAATATTGTTTTTAAAAAAAAAAAAAAAAAGCATCCCACTGCTTAGCCATGCTAGGAGCAGACGAGTCCTTCTCTCTGTCCACCCCAGACCATCCCCCAGCACCTTCCTGAAATTTCTGCAAGGTCAGGCCAATCTCAGGTTCTGACTCCTCTCACTGGCCTTTCTGGTGATGTGATCTTACCCAGCTTCCTGTTTGTCTTCCTGAGGGACAGTAGATTTAAGGAGTGAGGATCTGAGCGCTCTTGTGGCCATAAGTCTGCTGGAATTGAAAGTCTCTTGGAAAAAGCCTGAATCCACTGGTTTTCAGACCTTCTTCTGAGTGAGCAGACATCAGCTCAGAGCCTGGGCCATTCCTTCCCCCTGGATCCCAGAGTCCCAGCCCAGCCTTACCCAGGTCCAGCTGCTGCACGCTTGGTTCCCTAAAGTCACTCATGTTTTCCTGCTGTCCCCCAAGGTTCAAGACTCCTGGGGACCACAGCTTTTATTTCCACCCTCAGATCCTCACTCCTTAAGTCCTTAAATCTACTTTCCTCAGGAGGACAGGCTGGGGTCCTGCAGCTCTGACTTGAGCTTTCCTTGAGGATCCTCCCCAACTCCCTGACGGTGTAGGACTAAGAGTTTGGGGGGTTTACCAAGTTGAGGAAGGTGGTCTTCATACCCACTTCCAGACAGGATAACAGGTGCCTAGAATTCCACCAGCAGAGCTGCCGGAGGAGCTTGCCCCATGGGTGGGTGTGTTAAAATACAGTGTATTAATAGGAAGTCTGAGTGCTAGTAAGCCCACCAGCTCCGGAGATAATCGCCGTTGTGAGTAGCTTCTCATATGCGCAGGTCCCTAGGGAGTCCATACTTCATGACAGGGGTCCATCTTGGGAAGTACCAGGGTCTGTCATGAGGCAGTCAGGGAGGCAACTGTGGGCCAGAGCCTTTATTATGATTTCTATGGGAAAGACGGGCAAGGCCAGGCAAGCAGGCTTAAGACGAGGCAGATCTGAAGCATTCTGTGGGCTCTGGGCATAGAAGCTGCCCCTCGCTGTCTGACAACTGGCCTTGGGGCGATTAGGGCGGAAGGATAGTGGCTGGGAGTACGAGAGCCCGATAAGGCAGGTGGTTGGGGGTGTAGCCTCCAGACTGGTTGGTTTGTATTTGAAATCACAGCCTCAGTCAGGTCCTCCCGAGGCTGGGGTGCAGCGATGGAGGCAGGAACCCAGGGTAACCTGACTCAAGTGTCTTCTGAGGTGTAGAGGGCAGGGCATATCCAGCATCCACACGTAGGGCAGATGGTAAAGCATCACAATTGCAGAAGGTAGAAATGTGGCTCCTCTACCGGGCAGGGCAGAGGTTAACGTTCCGTAGGGGCTTTGCAGCTTCCAGCAGTACAGGAACAGTGGCAAGCCCAGCAATGTCAGGAAGTAAGACCGTGCAGAATTCAGCAGCAGTGGCTGGAACGACGATTGATGTAATGTTGTCAAATTCTGGATCTGCAGGAAGCCCACAGCCTGCTTCAGAGATGAAGCGTTGTTTTCCTCCTGGCCTCAACCCACATTGAGGTATAGCAGAACTTCACCCACTTGTAAGCCAGCCTTCCTTCTCTCCGCCCTTGGACCTCCACACATGCCCTGAGACGATTCTGTCCCATTTTTCATCTTCTAGGAGCCTGGGTCTCATCTGTCCTGATGCCTCCAAGTTCCCCTGGTGTAGAGGTTGTGTTCCTGGCCCATCCGTGGAGCTATACAAGTGACCTGGTGTGGGATGCATTTAGCAGGTGGGCTTGGTGCATTCCATGAATCTACTCTGTCTTCCTTTTGGAAATTAGAGTATTTGGATTGCCGTGTGTAGCTGCCATGTCCCCTGGGGGTTTATCTCATTCATGCAAACTACCATCTGCTCGACTTCCATCTACACCCCCTGCACCCCTTTGAGTGGGGACCTGCTGGTTATAGGAGCTCATTTTGCAGGCTAGAAGCACTGGGGAATTAATTCCACCAGTCAACCAGTGGCACCCGGAGAGGGAGGGCTTGGAGGCTCCACACAACCCCTTCCACCCCCACATCTTTCTTTGTCCTATACGTGGCCTCCATTTGGCTGTTTCCGAGTTGTACCCTTTATAATAAAGTGGTAAATGTTCTAACTGCAAATCCAGCCTAATCTGGTTCAATTTTGTGTAATAAAATGGCGAGTTGGGCCAGGTGCGGTGGCTCACACCTGTAATCCCAGCACTTTGGGAGGCCAAGGCAGGCAGATCATGAGGTCAGGAGATCAAGACCATCCTGGCCAACATGGTGAAACCCTGTCTCTACTAAAAATACAAAAATTAGCTGGGCATGGTGGTGCATGCCCGTAGTCCCAGCTACGCGGGAGGCTGAGACAGGAGAATCACTTGAACCCAGGAGGCGGAGGTTGCAGTGAGCCAAGATTGTGCCACTGCACTCCAGCCTGGCAACAGAATGAGACTGTGTCTCAACACCACCACCACCACCACCACCAACAACAACAACAAAAGGTCGAGTTGCTTTTCAGTTGCCATAGATCCCCAGGATGCAAGTTATGTATGCTGGTCATGCTCCGATGAACCAAGCAGGCAACTATGGGCGGAACCTATGTGCTTAGACTAAGGAAGGGGAACTGAGTTAAAAAGTGAACACCATGTGGCATAAACCATGATCCAATCAGACTGAGCCCTGGCGTCACCCCCATGGCATGATCCAATTAGGCCAAGCCTCCCACATCACCTCATTGCATGATCCAATCAGGTTACACCTCACTACCCTCTATGTATAAAATCTTCCCCAGCCCCCAGCTCAGAGAAACAGATTTGAACCAGACTCCAGTCTCCTTGCTTGGCTGCCTTGCATAAACTTTTCTCTCTATAAAAACCTGGCGTTGGGCCAGGCGTGGTAGCTTGCGCCTGTAATCCCAGCACTTTGGGAGGCTGAAGCAGGTGGATCACCTGAGGTCAGGAGTTTGAGACCAGCCTGGCCAACACCATGAAACCCTGACTCTACTAAAAATACAAAAAGTAGCTGAGTCTAGTGCCAGGCCCCTGTAAGCCCAGCTTCTCAGGAGGCTGAGGCAGGAGAATTCCTTGAATGTCTCAGGTTGAGACATTTTCCCCAATTGTACCCCAAAATGAAATACCAACGCATAAGATTTTGTTGGGTAGGGCTGAGCTTTGGAGAGCGCCAAGACCTGGTGACAGCTGAGATTCTCTTTGACACTTAAAGAAATAGTTTTCTTCCCCTTGGGAGTTATGTCAACTCTTTTGAGGCATGGAAGAGAGTATGGAAGAACAGAAAGAGTGACTCTATAGTGGAAAAAGCTGGCAGATACCACCTTAACCAAGGCTAGCATTGTCAATAAAAAGGCATGTTCACATGGAGATCACACCCCACCCCTGTAGGATATGACTAGAAAGGCACCTAACTTTGTGATAGTCTTTTTTTTTTTTTTTTTTTTTTTTTTTGAGATGGAGTTGCTCTGTCACTCAGGCTGAGTACAGTGGCTTGATCTCAGCTCACTGCAACCTTCACCTCCCAGGTTCAAGTGATTCTCCAGCCTCAGCCTCCTGAACACCTGAGATTACAGACATGTACCACCACATCCTGGTAATTTTTGTATTTTTGGTAGAGACGAGGTTTCACCACGTTGGGCAGGCTGGTCTTGAACTCCTGACCCCAGATGATCCATCTGCCTTGGCCTCCCAAAGTGCTTGGATTACAGGCATGATTGAGGTCAGGAGTTTGAGACCAGCCCGGCCAGCAGGGTGAAACCCCAACTCTACCAAAAACACAAAAATTAGCTGGGTGTCGTGATATGCACCTGTAGTACCGGCTACTTGGGAGGTTGAGGCGTGAGGATCGCTTGAACCCAGGAGGCGAGGTGTGGAATCACTGAGGTATGATATCACTGCACGCGGCCTGTGATATTCTTAACTCCAAACTAACAACTTCCCTCTAATCATTCGAAAACACTAGAAAAATCCAAGTCAAAGATCATTCAACACAAATGCCTGATGAACACTCTTTCAATCTGTCAGTATCATGAAAGACAAGAAACCCGCTGGCATTTGCAGGAGATGAAGGAGATGTGATGAGTGACATGAGCTGAATCGTGTCCCCCAACAATTTCATATGTTGAAGTTCTAACCCCTAGTACCTCAAAATGTACTTGTAACTGAAAATAGGGTCTTCACAGAGAAGACTAAGTTAAAATGAGGTTATGAGAAGGGGTTCTAACCCAATATAACTAGGGTCCTTTTTTTATTTGTGTTTTTGTTTTTGTTTTTGTTTATTTTTGAGACAGTCATGCTCTGGCTCCCAGACTGGAGTGCAGTGGCTTGATCGAAGCTCACTGCAACCTCTGCCTCCTAGGTTCAAGCGATTCTCCTGCCTCAGCCTCCCGAGCAGCTGGAATTACAGGCGCCTGCCACCACCCCCGGCTAATTTTTGCATCGTTAGTACATGTTGATCTTGATCTCCTCACCTCAAGTGATCCTGCCACCTCAGCCTCCCAAAGTACTGGGATTGCAGGCATGAGACACTCTGCCTGACCTATGATGGATGTCCTTCTAAAATGCGGAAATATAGCCACAGACACACACACAGAGGGAAGACAGTTGAGGACACAGGGAGGAGGGGACCAGACAGAAACCAAGAAGAGATGCCTGTAGTAGATCCTTCACCCACAGCCCAGAAGGGAGCAACCCCACCCACACACTGATCCTGGACTTCCAGCCCCTAGAACTGGCAGAGAATGAATTTCTGTTATTTAAGCCCCCTCTGCCCAGCCAGTGGTGCTCAGTTACAACCGCTCTGGTGAACTGAGACATTGACTCAGGATGTGGGTTCCTGGATGGGATTTTGCCACAGAAAAAAAGACACCTGGCCGGGCATGGTGGCTCATGCTTGTAATCCTAGCACTTTGGGAGGCCGAGGTGGGCAGATCACAAGGTCAGCAGATCAAGACCATCCTGGCTAACACGACGAAACCCCGTCTCTATAAAAATACAAAAAAAAATTAGCTGGGCATGGTGGCATGTGCCTGTAGTCCCAGCTACTCTGGAGGCTGAAGCAAGAGAATCACTTGAACCCAGGAGGTGGAGGTTGCAGTGAGCTGTGATGGCGCCACTGCACTCCAGCCTGGGAGACAGAGCGATACTCCACCACACGCTCACAAAAAAAGATGTTCACATTAAAGGAAGCTGAGCAAAGGATATAGAGAAGGCTCTGTAATCCATCTGTAAATCTAAAAGGACTGCAAAGTAAAACATTTGAAAAAAGACTCAAAAAAACCTGTTTAGGCTTCCACTCTTTAAGATTCCACTTCTATGAGCTACCCAGAGAAACTTATAATGAAAGAAAGTAGAATGGGAATTACCAGGGACTGGGGAGAAATAGGAATAGGGGCTTAGTGTTTCACAGGGGTGATGTTTTA